TTCTGAAGATGATGCCCAGACGTTCTCCATCGGATGGACATCCGGGCTCCAAGCTGTCTTTGGTAGACGACTATGTTTTGGGAATGCAGCCAATCTTTGAGAGCTACGTGGGCGGCAGATTTTCTTGCAAGACGAAGTTCAGACGACGCCACAGGCATGGAAAAGGCATTAGTTGTAGCTGTCACACTTATTGGTAAGTCCATTCCGCAGGTCACTAAGGGAATTTTCATCATAACATCATCACAGAAAGCAACCCAGACTTTCATACTTCCTCTACTAGGAATCACGAGCACTAAAAGACCGTTGTGCCTTAGGTAATGTTACTCCAAGAGCGCTTGTTTTCGTCGAACCTGCCATATTAACCTCTGACATCTAGAAAAAAACAATATTAATGATGCTATTTGGGAGTATGGTGCCATCGTTACGGAGGCCTATCTTCACCAGATCTCTATCTAGCTGAGCTTTGAGAATTAGAGTTGTGCATTTCTGCTGTAACCAGTGAGTCTGCCTCCTAGCAATCTTCACCGCCTTGCTGACAATGTCTCTGCTTCCTCTCACCTCTACCCGGACTTTATTTTTCGACACAGAAGTGTTAATTACGAGCGAATCTAGATTCAACAGAAGGTACTGTTTGGAACTGCCTTCAAAATTCTTCTCGAATCGTTGATAGTAAATGCACGTGAGTGTGCAAAAGTAGTAGTACACCTGGAGACATGGTGGAACTTGAAACATCCCTGGAGAGATTGCGAGCCGAGCCCAGCATTCCCATTGCATAAATCGTGCCCCACCTTTTCACTACGAAACATTCCGAAAAACCAACGATTCGTTAGTGACAGATATTCACTTCTGCAAGCGCATTCTGTTGATCCTCATAAAAAAAAGTTGTTCATTTTCTCAGGCTGAGCTTATATTAGCTTATATTTATGAAACAGGGCAAAAATCAATAAAGTATTACAAAAAAGTTCAGAAAAATGGTGCTGTTGCCAAAAATCGTGTGAGGGTTATTTGTGCGGGAATTCCGTTGATGATGCTAGGAAAATTCTTAAATGGCTGCTTCTCCTGGAAATGCAAAATTTGAGGGTGAGCTTATAATTATGAAGCGCACTTTAAACTTGGAAATGTTTCAAAAAATTCTGAGAATGCATTAAGACTCACATTTGCCATAAGCCTTCCCATTCTCCCCAAGGGATCTTGATCGATGGCGATGACATCACGATTGAGAAGAATCCGTTGAAATTCGGGAGCAATGGTGCGAAGATCGTTGGACATAATCAGAGGCGCTGACCAAATCGACATGAAATAAATTCCTTATTTGGAAATTGATCGATTGCGGGCAATGATGGCACTATTAACGAGTATATTCACACATTTATCACTGATGTATAAATAAGAATTGTGTTGGAAGGATTTTAATTTTTTCCAAATTTTGCAAATATTTCTCGCATTTTTCTCAAAAAAAAATCTTCGAGTGTCTTCTAGAAATATGATGCAATTTTACTGAAGAACACTTTCTGACTCAGGATCTGATCTCTTAGTAGAGTCCCACCTGATTCGACCGGACAGTCAGTTGGCCGTACACACTAACACGTTTAGACCCATGTTAAGCGTCAGAGGTAAAGATGGATCTGAAAGCTGTGAGGAGGGTCTAACAGGAAAGGCGGGTCAGTTCAATACGGATGGTGTTTCTCTTGAGGGAGAAAGGATCAGTAGGATCTTAGATTGAGCAAGTAATTCTCACTCACCATATCGTCATTTGAGCGATAGCCATATTGACGGTTATGCCAGGATTACCAATCACAAGCTAAAAATGGATGTATAGGAATTACTTGGCTATCTTTTTTTTGATTTTTCTACTGAATTTTCTTTCCCTTCCTTAGGGATGCACACAAGGAGAGCGGGAGCAATGGGCTTTGATTGGTGCCCTATTGGGAGACGCCCCGCATTTCACATCAACTCGGAATCGCTGTTCTCCATGCCATTTGACCCACGCAATGAGTTACGAAGTCAGTCCAAGAAAGTCGTAGTTTCATTCTCTCAAGCAAGCCTATGCGAGCTCAGCTCTCAGCCTCTACCACAGATATGAACCCTGGACCGTGCATGTAGAATATTTAGAAAGCGGCGCCACTTGCCACACCCAACACCACTTTCTGCTGTATTAGTATTGCTAGCTCCGTAGACATCAACGAATCACTGTTGCAACTCACCATGTCTGGGTCATGCCAATGTCCAGGGCCATGTGTCGGTATGAGCTTATCTTGATTACGATCATAGTAGTCGATAATTCTTAATATCGATTCCCATGAACTCCTTATGTCGCGATAGTTACGCCATAGGTTGCAACTATTGGCGATCTGGTAATAGTTGACCTTAACTAAAAATGATTGATAAGCCCTCTAGAAACGATTAAGTGCTCCATCAAAAATTACAGAAGAAAAGGAGAAAAATCGATCTAAGAAAAGTACGATCTTGCTTTTGCTTTATGGCTGACCCTTTCTGGTTGTCCAATCATGTAAGCTGGCCAACTGCAAGAGTACACTATTGGTCGACCTGTGGCATTCAGTGCTCGTTCCATGGTCGCATATCCTAGGAAGCAGAAATTCTTGCGAATATTTGATACAAGCGGGTAGTTGAAAATTGAGGTGTAATTCACCCATCAGTGAATTTCGACCACTCCTCAGCGGGTTGAGGAAGTGTCGAAGGAAGCTGGCAACTACCACAATCTTCTCCCCCATGGCCACTTGGACGGGGACGATAGTACTACCATTCGGCCACTAGTTGGAATCGTTGGCAAAGCCCTAGGGCCTTTGTCGCCCAAACTCCAGCTGGTTCATCTTTTTTCTCCACTAAGAACTATGTAGATTAGCACCCACAGATTTGAGTTCGAATCCTATCTACAATATTCGGCAAATTGGCTAACAGTAGTGCCGGGGTTAAGCACATCAGAAGTATCGCAGCCCCTGAAGTCAATTGAGGAGATAAAAAGCTGAACAGTTGGTCATCAAGTGAGTTGGCTGTGTAGCAGCGAAACCGTCTTTCTATGGTTTCGTTTCTACCCACTGTAGAACCACCAGCATTCGAAATGCGTCTGTCATTTACAACAGAAATTAGAGTCTCTACGACAAGAGGGACCCATGTCTTCAATAGTTAGACCGCGGTGCTCTTCAAGACTCCAACATATACGATTCTCTAGAAACACCAAGTTCGTCAACCGAAAGAAGTGAAACAATGCTTTTTCGTGATGACGCTCAGCCACACGCCCC